ACCCAGTGAGCACCCTAAAGCCTGTCTGACAGCCGATAAGGAAAAGGTTTCTAACTTTGCCATTACAGATGCTTTACCAGACTGCAGTCTACGAGGAGATGTGAGGATTTACGACTCACTTTGAGGGGAGGAGGGAGGGGACATCTTTGCTCATCCATTCTGTAACCCTGTTAAGATGAGAAGGAAAAAATAGACAGGATACTGATGGCACAGGTAGGATATCTAAGCAGCTGTTGACACATATACAAAGAAATACAGATTCAGGACAATGCTGGCTGTCAGTACCTTATGCAGCAGCGTAATGCAAGGTAATTTTACAATACCTTCAACAGTTCATTGTGACAGAAAATAATCTAGATCACCAGAGAAAGGTGATTGAAATTACCAGAGAAAGAGGAAGTAAAGAGGACCAAGGAATTAGAAACTATAGTAGACAGAAAAAGCAGCAAGAACAGAAAGAGTGCGTCCATCAAGCTATACAAATGATTTCACTATCCACAAGTCTACTCAAGGGCCATAATAGGGTTATAAATAATCTCTCTCTTCTTATTCTTTCATTGACTAACGCTGACAGTTCCTAAAACACAGAAATATTTCCTGATCTGCATATCCAGGCAATTTTTTGTCTAAAGAAGACAAATCAAAGGGAAAGTGCACATGTGTTCACCAAATCTATTCTCTGAAAGCTGTTCATGTTTTCACTTCCATCATCCACTTGACCCTTCTGTGGACAGTACAAAAGACTATATAAGTAATATGGATCTCACCTCATGCTTTTTATGCCTGCGAGTCTTTCAGCACTACAGCTTCATGGATAAACCAGTCGCATAGCCTTTATAGCACTTTTGTAAAGCTAAATAATGATTTTGTGACTCTTGGGAATAAGATATTATCACAGTAGACCATTTAGATTAAAATAGTTTCCTGTGTTGACATACTTTGATCCCTAAAAAAAAAAACATCACGTAAGATGAAATACCCTTTCTCATTTTATAGGCTACCTATTCAATGCTAAATAATGTGGTTGATGCCTACATAATTAGACTCTTTTTGAACAACCCGTTTTAATGGTTTTGCTTTCTTTCCACTGGCTTACTCAGTATCTGGAGTACTTGCTTATAATTTGTGCTACACTGAAGCACTAGCTCATTGGCTATAATAAAAACTAGATTTCTACAAGTCAAGTTACTTGATGACACAGATGTGAAGGGAAAACACAAAGGATCTGTTCAGCACATTCAGAAGAATAAGGTTTCTTGCTGCAAGAAGACACATTAATAGTAAATACATGGACACACAGTGTTCCTGTATAGTGGAGTTACAGTGCTGAATACAAAAATAGCAGGAAAAACAGGAAAAAAAGTGGAGTCTCAAAATAGAAGTAAATAGAGATTTTATGTCCAAAGTGAAAATTCTGAGTCTGTGAGGGAGAACGGGTTTAAGCAGAAAGCTGAGCCAGGAGAACATTTACAGTACCTGCAACCTCTCGATCATGGCAAACAGGTCCGAGGTCTGGAGGAAAGAAATCCAAAGTTTTAAAAAGGGTATATTTGTGGTGATATGCTTTCCTTCTCGGTGTTTACTTTGATTTCATCTCTGCTGAGTGAAAAAGCTTCCTGTGCACTCTCAAGGCAAAAAATTTCCTGTTGGAATCCCTGGCACTATTTAACGCCTCATTTTAGTACACCCTAACGCATCCCACTTGACACCAATATCACTGAGGCTCCCTTCAGTGCCTGGAGAATCCCTCGCTCCTCCACGCTTCAAGACAAACACACTGTAAACAAGTAACTCTTAGGGGGAAATGAGCATCAAAGCTCCATGGTGCTTCTCTCTGTTGCTAAAGCCAACAGCTCATCTGACTCTGCGCAATTAGCTGGAAGACACTCAGGTTTTGGTGTATGAAGCACACAGTCACATCACATGTGTGAATGAGACGCACTTCACACTACAACCTATCAGGCAACAGGAAGAGTCCAAAACATGACATTAATTATCATACATGATCTGGCAACTCTGTTTGATATCAGCCATGGTGTAATCATGATGCTTGGTAATGAGCACGTGTCCACTTAGGGAATTGATACTAATATTGCTAATTAGACACACAGATTTCAATGCCACTACTGGCTTTTCATTACACCCTAAATAATATATTTTTGCTCAATTAGGAGAATCACTTGTTGAGGTTAAGCAAAAGAAAATGGCCTTAGGCATGCACCCTCATCTGCAGCGGCCACATTAAGGATTTTAAGCAGCTCCAACCTGAGCTGAAGGAGGAGAGAACTGCAGCAGCCCTGACAGCAGTGCCTGTTGTGGGGCGAGCCCTCTGTTCACCATGTAACACAAGTGGACTGAAGTGCCAAGCTGATGTTTCCACATGACAGATTAAATTTACTGAGGAGCACTGCAGGGGCTTGCTAAACACACACACACACAAACACTAACACACACACAACAACAGGATAGAATACACATGTATGCATACAAACATTTCACACATGCATGTGCTAAAATATACTTGCAAACTCATACATATATACGCCTCCACCCATGAAAGCATGCTTCACAAATGCGCACACACATCTGATCCTGACCTAGTAAAGCCAAAGGTGCAGCCCCAGTCTATTGTTCTATGTGAAAATAAACAGTGCCATATGATATTCAAGGAGATACTGCTCTCTTGACTGCAAAACAAACATCAACAAACACTGTCCTAGGCTGAACAGATTATCAGTGAACCACACAGACTCCACAGCAGCCACGTCAGTGCCGAATTCTTTTTTTTTTTTTTGAGAGAGAGAAAAAGAAGCGGTGCACTCCCAAATTGTGGAGGCACTCTATGAGCACAGCAGCACACAAACCCTAACAATGCAAGGAAAACCATCGTATTATGAGACATACAAAATATTTACATAATGAAACCAGGTTACCAAGGTATGTGCTATTAACAGTTCCTTCCTAAAACAAAAAGATTAGTGAAGTGTTATCTGTCTGTGCAATTAACACAATTTCATTACTTCCTTTTCTACAACACCACACATACTATATTTATATTTGTGTTCCCGAGCAAACTTAAGAGTCAAGCAAGATAACAGAAATAACACACTCAGTTCCAGCAAATGAAAAATACTCACATCACTTAAGCATCGTCTCTTGAAAAAAGGCTTATTGGGGGGACTACTGAGCAGTCTATCCAATAAGACATTCTCAGCCATGCTGAGCTCCGTCATTATTCCACAAGTACAGATGCAGTCAAGCTGACAAGAGCGAGGGTGTTGATGTCACTGTCAGCCCCAAGGAGAAAGGCGAGCCTGACAATGACACTTTACATTCACTGTCGCTCAGGCAGTGGATTTGTGGGGAAAAAAAAAAAACTTATAGCTGTCCATCAAAACCCATATCTGTGTGTGAGGTAAAAGCAGCATGTGCTGTAATGTGAGGATATTATTGCCCTTCCTTCCCCTTTTCACCCCCCACACCCAACCCTCCACACCCCCACGGCAAATAGAGCTATGGTAAAGGAAGTAGGACGAAGGGAGGAACAATGTTGCTCCCCTCCCTTTGTACTCTGTGAAACCGTCTTCTCTTTTTCGTGCACACACACTTGCATGTGGACTTAAAACTGCATAGTTCTCTTTTTGCTGTATCACAATATGAGAACATTCTCTTCCTCTTTTCATTCATCTCAAATTTCTCAAGTCATGAGTCTCATCATCTCTTTCCCGTTATATAACTAAAGACCAACCTTACAGCTCGAGTTTCCCTGTGGTTTGCACTTTGAGAATCACTTCATTAAAAGACAAAGTAGCCCAAAATAAATGAAAGAGAAAATCAAGAAAAAAGACGATGAACAGAAAGAAAACAACAACGTGAAAGCTCAAAGCTTGCCTCCACTGGGGTAAATAAGTGAAGCTAAAATCTGCTCAGCGAACCTCAGCAATTCTAAAAATCATTTGTGCATAGTTAAAGATGGGTATGACACAAGAGTGCAAGAGAAAGTAGAAGAGAGAGAAAGAGATAAAAAGACCAGGGAGGCACTCTGGGATGAAAGGGAAGCTGTTCCTTACAAGCAGAACTTTTTCTTGGCTCGTCTCTTGATCAGGCCCTCCTCCGGTATCAGATATCTGCACTGACCCACTTCAAAAACAGAGGGAAGCTTTCAAAAGGATACATTTTAGCAATATACAGTATAAAAAGCACTTATATTTTACAATCAAGGATGAACATAGCCACTGGTCTTCACTGATTTCCTTTGAGGAAAACTAAAGAGTATAGGGTGACAGGATGACATGGTTTGAACATCTCGTATACAGAGGTATACATTCAGTAGAGTGACACTGCACCATGCAATTTAAACACTATCCCGAGGGTGCATTTTATTACTTTTTAAAAAATTTATTAGCTAATCTGTTTATTCAGAAACTGGCTTTAGCACTAGTTCACTTACAAAGTTACACACTTGCCCAAATGTCATGTAACAGTGGTAGATGACAGCAACGAAGTTGTGGGCAGAGAGTAGTGAACGCTATTCAGATTCACAATTAGTGTTAACATTGTTTCAGTTACAAAGCATACTGACTGTAAAGTCATGCTGGCGTGTGCAACATTTTAGCTTAAGTCGGTGGGAAATTCAACAAGCTGTTGCACAATCTTGATTTTAATAAGTGCAGTATTTGGTGTGATTTTAAGGAACAGTGTTTACTAAAAAAAAATGCTGTTGGTTGCACTTCCACTCTTCAGGACCTTCAGTCTTTTAAGCTGCTCTTTTGTCTCTGCCCTTAGAGACGGTTTGGAGCTGCTGCAGTGAATGTACTGTTAGCATGAGCTACACATCTCTTTTTCTTTGAGTGGATTATAGCCAATTGCTGGGCCTCAGATAGAGTGTGCGAGTGAAAGAGGCTGAATAATCAACAAATTCATTGATTGACTGATTTGATTGAATGGCTGTGTACATTTAAGTATAGTATGTCCATGAAAACATGTACGGACTATTTACATCAATGACCCATACAATCCAGACTTTTACCCCGCTCTGATTCAAATGCTTACTTCTCATTCTAACTATTCAAAACTAGCGCCTTTTGGATTTTGACAAACAAACTGCCAACACATGAGTCCAAACCAATATTCCCACACCTCTTCACACTCTTTTCATTTATACTCTGTGGGTTAGCTGCTTTCTCAAAGGCAAATCCTTGAGTAAAACAGAAAACTAAACTTCAAGAGAGTCGACCAATGGGCAGAGAAGCCTAGTATTTCAGCCAGAGAAAATCCATTGTGGTCCATTCATCAGGTCTGGCGCAAACGAGCCTGACCTTGCTGTGGCCACATTGGCCTCAGGGACACAAATGGAGTTCACACAGATGGCCCATTCCACTCCATCAACGCCTCAGATGAGTTGGTTGATTGCCACAGAGGTTAAG